GAGCCAGGAGGCAGTTAGCTTAGCTTAGCATAAAGACTGGAAGCAGGGTGAAACAGCTAGCCTGGCTCTGCTCAAAGGTTAAAAATAGCAACAGCTCTGATTATAATGTTTTAATCTGTACACAAACAGGATGTAAACACCAACATTTGAGAGAATTATCATCATCATCAATTATTATCAGCTAAACTCAACATTTCTTATACAGATATTTCACATTAAAACCTCACAGTGGCCAAAAATACCTGCTGAGTTCCTGCTGTTCCTGGTAGTAACTGAACCTTACTATCTAACTGTAACTCAATTTAAAGTAAAGCTTCTTCATCACAGAGAAAACATGCAACCATAAAGTGTTTCTGATGGAACGTGTACCTGAAGGCCTGGACTGTGGAGCCTTTGAAGTATTTGGCCAGAACTGAATTTTTGGAGTAAATCAGTTTGAGCTGAAAGATAAAAAGGTCACACAGACGTTAATAAATTATTATTATAATCTGTAATCAACAAACACAGAAAAACAGAACAGGAAGCCATAAAGCAGAAGTTGTCAGAAATGTCACCGCTCAGACTGACAGACAGTCACAGGCGTGGAGAACTCCCATGATGCTTTGTGTGAAGTCTAACCTGCTGGTTGACCAGAGCGGCCAGGTTTTTAAAATCTCGACTGCTGGGATCTTCATACGATGACAGGAAACGCTGGTTGTTGATCCCCATGGAGCCGATATAAACCTTCTTCACTCTGACGTCACTGCGTACTGAAGACAGGAGGGAGGAGCTATTAGTCAGTATTAGTTCATTCATTGTTCAGTGTGAATATAAATAACACACTCAGGGTGTGGAGGTGACTGAACCTCATGTGTCATGGCCTTTTTCTCATTAGCTCACATTGTGAAAGAAGCAGCAGTGGATACATTTTTTCAAGCATCAGAACCCCAAAATGACTCGTTTCACTATCAGATGTTGATCCATTCAGTCAGATAACATTTTGAAAAAGTCTAAAAGATTTGCAATTATACATTTTTCCATTATGCTTCAGGTGCTATTGAGCAGCTTTCATAGGAATGAACAGAGCGCCGCCTCCAACGCTGTATCCAGTTCTCTTCTATCCATCCATCCAAGATAAGACATTACTTCCTGTTTTGCAACTTACAGGAAGTTCTTCTTTTTTATCTTGTACATTTTCTTTATTATCAGTTCATCAGGAGGGTGTGTAGATTCTACGTGCACAGTTTTGTGCAGATTGAGATTTTTAAGACTTTCAGCCTTCGAGGTTTGAAAAAGTAGGTTTTGCAAATGTAATTCTTTGCAACAAAAGCACTAAAGGCTCCTGGTTTTTTGTTAATCGGACAACCCAATGTAGAGATCTGACATCACTTCCTAAATAAATCTGTGATCCAGTGTCTAGGAGAAATGTAACTTCCCTCCCTTCATGAAAAATAAAAAATATATACCCTCCGCTTTATCTGACGCCCATATCTCACTAACACTTTGAATTTTAAAGCCAAAGGTTCTCAAACTGATTACCTTGCAGCTGAACGATGATACACAAATAAGCTCGCCTTTCACTGAGAGTTTCTATTTGATGAATCATCCCATTAAAGCCTTCCTACCAGTCTGATGTTTGCTTTCATTCAGCAGCAGCTGATAACAGCATCAGCTCCCTGCTGTTTAAATAAAGGTTGTTAAACTGAGCTCACAGTGGAAGTGCCAGACCAGCAGCCCAGTGAGCAGAGCCAGAGCGGCAGCCGAGACCAGCAGGCCCAGCCCGATCCAGAGCTTCTTCCTGCGGCCGGGTTTCTTCTCCAGCCGCTTGGAGTCTGTGGCCGGCAGGAACTGCAGGTTGGTGTCCCAGTCCGGCTCCTGCAGACAGAGAGACACAGGAGGGAGGACGGGGGAGGAGGACAGAGACGTTTGTTCAGATCTTCTACCTGGCTCACTGTTGATATTGTGAATCTCAGCCGGCTGACAGAACGCAATGTCAGCAGTTTTGTTGGGACTATTTCTTTAGGTTCAAAGAGACAAGAATCTCTTCTGGATGAATAAAATCAAGACTATCTGCATGTGGAGACACCAGAAATGATGTATTTTGTAATTTGGGTGAACCTTTAAGACTGTGGCACTGTTGAGCAGACAGTGAAGACAGTGTAGTGATACTCCACATGTCCAGAAGCATAGTTACTCATTCCTCAGTGTTGTATGTCGCAGCAATAGATGCATCACTGAGGTCACAAAGCAGACAATCAACTTCCATGGACATTGGTGTCCAAATGTGCAAATTATAGCACGACATGATCAATATATTCTGTATTGTGTCTTACATGACACACTGACTGCTCTCACTGAAGCATTCACTGCTACAATTAGGATCTAAAAAGTCAAAATTATGAGATTTA